CACTGCTGTGAGTGCCATGGCGGCTACTTGCCCGCTATGCGCTGAGCCCGCTCGCGCCGCGTGCAATTGAAAGTGTTGACCTTGTTGTTGTGCACATCTGTGCATTCACGCAAAGATGCGGATTTTTAATCATTCGGCCTTGAGCAGGTTCTCGTCGTGCTCACATCGCCGGAGGCGAGGCATGTTTTGCTGCTTTCCGGATCTCGCGTCCTGCATCTAACAATCCATTGTTCATAGTTGCGTACTTGCTGGCCATGGGCTCGTGTTCAAGAAGTGGCCTGGGAAAGGTATGCATTCATTTATGGATGTATGGATGCGTATATGTATACATTTTAACTTGTGGTGCGTGCATGTGTTTTGACATGCATCACCAATGTTGGAACTGTGTCAGAAGAGCTTGAAGGCAAAACTGTCTCTGCTCGCAAGGCTGCTCGAGTTTTTGCTGAAGCGTGGAACGGAGCCAAAAGGACCGGCACAATGCCAGAGCATGCTTGCCCCAAGTTTCGGATCTGAGAATGAGACTGCTGAGTCGGTTGGGTCTCTTGGAGTTTCTATCCGCGCGAGGGGTGGGATTCGTCTGGGCCGGGCTGAGCTAGAGTGGTATTGGAGAGAGCAGTGAGACCTTGTGATCTTGAAGCAAGCGCCGTGCCAGTTCGGGCTCTTCTTTTCCACTGCGGATAGCATCAGCCGGAACCTCGGAGTGGCAAGGGTCCCTATCCACAACAAGTGTCTCTTCGGCACCTCACAAGATTCGAAAAGTGAAGCGACTCATGGACCAGGAAGGCTTTGAGGCTGCAAAGCCTGATAAGCCATGATGATCCGTCCTCTTTTCGTCTTTGCGCTCCTTCCTCCCTCCTCGTCCGTTTCCTGCGGTTACAGTTGCTGATGCCGAGCCTTGGTGGTGCTGTTGTACATATTAGTTCGTCAACTGGAACATCCAAACAAACATACAATATAAAGTTGTAGCCTTGCTTGAAGCACTCGTAGAGGTTCTTTGAGGACATCCAGCCGTTGCTGTGTCGTCTCAGCAGGTGGGGCGCGGCACAACGGAAAGGACCTCGGTCGCAAGGGAGTAGTCGGGCTGTCCGAGCTCCGAGCTGTTTTCGGTGCTTCCAAGGCCGCCATTCAGAGGGCTGGACTCGATGTGGACTTCGAGCCATCGACGGCAAACGCAGAGAGCCTTGCTGGGGTCTCGGAATGGGGGCTTTCGTGTCAGAGTGTGGCAGGAAGGGGCGTGTTCCAATCTGAGGCATTGGAGCTGCCAGCCTCGCTAGCCAAGCGCGTGCTGTGCGCCCCGGCTTCGTGCACGTCAGCCTTTCGAAGTCACTTGCTCCCTGTTGTCACTGTCACGCTGTTGTGATCCAGTACTTGAAGCCTCGCAGGCTTGAGACTCTGGTCCGGCCTGAAGCCTCAAGCAACAAGGTCTTAGACGTTTGGAGACACTGTCGTTCTATGCCGATTCTATGTCTGAACAGAGCCGCGAAGCTCAAGCCGTAGACGGCCGTGCGCACCGCTAGCTGCTACTTTACTGCGACAGCAAGGACTGCCGAGGCTTGCCCGACGTGCGGAGACGTTGCCAGACATGTGGGCGGTCACAGAGCAATATCAAGGAGTAGCTAGCATCTCGGGTCTCGGTGCTTGAGTGAATATTGGCATGATCTCGGGGCTGGAAGATCCAGACACTTTGGTTGTTGTGGAGCAGGGATGTATGAGTCCTAGATGGAAAGGACTCGCACGTGCTTCAACTAGAAGTACTGAGGCTTTGTAGTCAGAGCAGTAGGGCATGCTTTTCAGGATTGCTGCCATGGGTTGGCTACATGGGGATTGTAAGATTGAAGAGGATTGAATAGATTTTCGTTGAGCGGCATGGCAGGCTTCACAGGTGCCGATGGATTCGGATCAATGTCTCTAGTTTCGCCGTTCAGGGTACAAGGCCAGCTGTGGACGTTGCATATGACGGGATAAGTAGTACTCGATGCTGCATGCATACATAGTCAGCGCCACACCCCAATTCACCCCCAACAAACACCACAATAAATCAGGCGTCTGGTCAAACCTCTGGACAGGCAGCATGAGTTGAACTTACTGAGTTTCCACCTCCCGAAACACCCCAAGTTGAGACAGCCCCTGATGGCAGGAGATGGCTCTAGCGTTGCACTACCGCTTTACCTTCATCACCGTCGAGGAAGATGAATCCATGTGTGCTTGCATCCACATCTGCAGGGCGACGCGACACCAAGACCCGAAAACACATCCCAGCCTCAAGAAGGATGACAGAGAGGAATGCAAGCAAGTGTTTGTTCGAGCTGTCGAGCTGAAGGATAGTATGTCGCGGCAGCGGTCATCCAGGGAACCTCCTAGCACAATCCGCGACAGGTTCTCCGGGCTCATTATCAGCACAGAACCAGAATCCGCGTTGTTTCATCTTGTCATGGCAGGCAGTTCACCAGCATGGCAAGCCCCACACCAGCCTCAGCCTGTACCTCTAAGACTTCAGGATTTCTTCCAAAGGCTGTCATCTACCCAACCGCAGGTATTGGCCATCAACCAAGGAAACACGTCCAGGCTGTATTTTGAAGTTGCCACTTGTCGCCTACAGCCAATGGGTGATGTGGGATCTTTATTGCTGGTGACACACGAAGCGAAGCTGAAGCCGGCGCACTGAATACTTTTGACATTTAAGGCTGCGAAGACTTTCTTGTGTGTTCCTGTCGCATGGGACGTCGGACGACAAATCTCGCATAAACATCAGGCCGTCCGACTCTTCTTCATTGCAGGCCTGCCTTTTCGTCTTCCCCCTGTCTTGTCATAGCTTTATCACTGTCTGCGAATGTTGTCATGATCACAGGCTTGCCGCCATGGTTAGTTTTGTCACAATTAAGTAATTCAGTATGTTGTCAGCATGGCCATGATTATGAGCATCGGCAGGCCTATCATCTACCCTCGTGGCCATAACCCTTGTCGTTGCTATCGCAAATTCACGTCACTATCATGGTTCCGAATGACCATTCCTGCTGTCATTATTTTCAGCATGTTCATTTGTTCTCATGCAGTGCGATACAGAAGATGAGGAACTACATAGCTGTTTAGGAGGAGCCCGTTGTCCAGCTGAAGCGCCGCGCTGCAAGCGTCCCACCCAGGCTGCGGCTGTGCTTTGCTGGGAGTGATGTGCAGACTTAGTTGTCTTGGTGGTCTCTTGGTTCTCAACTGCTCGGGACGTGGGGGAGTTGGTTCGGGGGTCCGGATCGAGTCGAAGATCAAGTTGTAGATTGTTGCGCAGCACGACAGTTCGGTTCGACATGTCAAAACGTTCCGAGCCTGAGGGTAGCGGGGATTGAAGAAGGACGAGTAAGAATGAAAGTTGTTACGTTGGCCCCATGCCTCTGGCAACTGGTTTGAGCGATGCCCCATGCAGAGGTCTTTTCTGAGCTGGTACAACTCCTCCACCCCAGAGAGCAACTCGAAACGGTGTCGAAGGCCGTCTGCTGCCGAGCTGTGCGAAGCCCAAGAAAATGAGGCACAGAACTGACGTTCAAAGCGTCTCGTCAACATGACTGCGAAGCTAGCCCTCGGCGCGGAGCCTGACATTGGGATACACAGAACGCGACAGTTCCTGGCATGTCACAGTCGCCCTGATGCACGTTTTTCTTGAGACTCGAATGCAATGCAATGCTGCAACGGAGGTCGAAGATGGCCGCTACGTAAAGTCCCTCCAGCAGAAGTGGACGTTTGAGCCCCAGTTTGATTTGACAGCGAGCGTTGCCGTAATTAACGTACCATCCTGTCGATGCGGACCGCGCTTTCAGGCTCGGGCGTGCTGGGCCTGAACCCGTGTGCGCAGCCCAGGAGCAGGAGGCCGGGTTGTGATACCGCGGGCAGTGGCCTCCTTCGTAGTTTTTCTCGGTGCAGTGCTTAGTTTTGGCCTCACGTGGAGGACGGGCAGGACGTGCAGTCTCTCGAGCCCATCTTCGCTTACAAGGAAGTGGAGCTCCAGTCCAATGCATCTACCGAAGAGCCAATGGTGGGTCACGTACCTTCGGAGGAGATACCTTCTGAAGGGGATGAGTCGCCGAAGGAGGGCAAGCCGAAGTGCAATCCTGGAAGTGCGGGCCACCCCGAGCTGTGCCGCCGCCCGTGCATTTACTTCGCCCTGGGCCAGTGTATTAACGAGGCTGACTGCAACTTCTGCCACCTATCTCACAACAATCGCTCTGCGACGCTGGACAAGTGCCAGCGGCAGATGATCAAGCACATGAGCCAGCATGAGTTCCTATCCATGCTGCTGCACAGTCTGCAGTCGAAGGCTGCAGAGGGACGTTTCGAGGTTGATGCGGAAGATGTGCTCCAGCTCTTCAGGGTGCAGATCGGCCAGATGAGGGCAATCCCCAGCAAGGTGCCCAAGACCAAAATCTTGAACCTCGAGAAGGCTTTGACGCGGATGACATTCTTCAGCGTTGCCAGCCTCACTTCTCGCGGAAGCTTTGATACAGGCTTCATCGAGCTGTGCAAGGAGAAAGTCACCTTCCTGCGACAGAAAGTAGCATGAAGGTGATCTTTGCAGTGGCTCCGGCATCAGGCCTAACAGAATCTGCCTGGGTGCCGTAATCTCCTTCGAGCTTTCCAGACTTTAGTGAACCGGGAAGGGAAGGTTTTTAGTGGCTTATCACAACCTTTGCGTCCTTCCACGTGGGGAATGTCCTTGATGGACTCCTCGCGATGTCAGTTTTCATGACGAAACTTCCCTCTTGCGTGCTCTTGCTCCCTGCTCTTCCAGTGTGGAAGTTACACATGTTGTTTTGTTATCTCAAAGATCATGTCGGTATGCTTACACTAATCATCCCACAGTCGGTGCCTCGGAGATACCCGAGCACCGATCATTGAGAGCAGAAGCGAAGCGACCATCTCCAGACTGGCCGGCTAGGAGGCGCCTCAGGTGTTGCCAGCATCTCGGACAGTGCCTTTGCCGCCCCAAACTGCAGGTCCAGAAGGCCTCTTTGCAACACCTGCCTGGGCTTGATTGAAGAAACGTCGACCTGGGCGAAGCCACCCCTAGGGGTTGAAGTCGCCGGTTTAGGCGACTTTGGGCTTCGACAGGCGACATCCGAAAGAAGCAGTCCAGCATCAGTTGCCACGTTCCAATGTTGGATGCTCTCTGACTGGGGAGGTCGGGCAAATCCCCTCCCTCGGACCGGAGACCACCAGAACTCGCCTGCAGGACCTCCCATCAAGGCAAAAAAGACGGAACATGTGGCACGGCCGGTTTTTGTTCGATCTGAAGTCGCCGTGATTGAAAACCGTTTCCTTTCGGCTTCAGAACTCCGAAGCTCTTCGCCTGCTCCTTCACCGCATCTGCATCACGGCTTTGCAAAGCATCACCTGTGCCCGAAAAGTGCAGTGCGAAGCAATACAGCCCAGGTGTTATTGATCTTCGCTCCGGACAAGCCTATCACGCAGGAACATGGTTCTCTCACATCTTTGAGTGGATTGCACACACAGAGTCTAGCCTAGCTGTTGGGCTGCTGGAGCTTTCCAGGAGATGTCTCTCAATTTGGACTATCGCAACACCTTCATCACGGTCCAGGCAAGGACCTTCCGATGTTATCGGCTGCGAGGGGCATGACACAACTTATGTGTTTGGAGGAATGTTCAGGTCTTGCTTTCCCATTCCCCGCTCGAACTCGAGAGGTTCAACGCACCGGAGGGCGTTGTTGTGTTTGCGCGGTGTAGCAATATTAGCCCTTCGTGATTCTGCCTTCTTTGCATTGGTGGGAGGTCGATTTGGCGGGCCTTGTGTGCATGTATCTGCTGATTCCGGGGTTCGGAAACGTCGGTTGCAGCCAGTCTGCCAGCCTGTGAGCAAGAAACGCAAGCCCTAAGCCGAACCGCAAGCACCACTGTTTGCAAGGCAGTGCAGCAAGGGGTGGCTCTTGCGCAAAGGTATCACAGAAGATGGCAGGAATATGTCAAAGGCAAGCAGTTTAAGCACGAGCTTTATACCTCGCCAAGCTTTTCTTAGCGCGGTCCCATGCCGAAAAAATGATCTGCAGTCACTGAGAACTGTTGCAACTGGTTCGCTGCTACGAGCCGCTGCGCTTTGAACTTGGCGTTGTGAGCTTCTCAAAGTGCCTTGCGCTCGTGTGGCGGGGGACAACGCCTGGGCGAAGGTGGAACCACAAGTTCCCAAGGCATTAAATCCCAAACCCTGGGAGGGAAAAGGAGGCGCACGCTTGGGACACCTACGCCGCAAACGTCGATTGTCAGGCATCAGCGTTTTCGGGGAGCGGTTGCAACACCCCGGGTTGCCTGCGACCACCCCCGAAGCAGACGTGGCAGCGAAAGAGCAAGCATCATGTGATGTGAAGGACATTTTTTTTTGGCAGGAAACTCAGCAAAGCCGAATACACCGAAGCCCTAGTTCCTACGGGAGTGGGCCCTGCAACAGCCCCGTGACAACCGAAACCAAGCAGCCTCCCGGCTATGCGGCTTTAAAGTCCGCCGGCAAAACCGACACCGCCAGCCACGCCGCTGGTCTACAAAATCCAACTCATGGCTAGGGTGGACTCCACGACCAACCCAGTCAAGAGTGGTTCGGTAGCATGGGCCTGCGGCCAGTTCTTTACCCATTATCTGGTTGCTAACACGAAGACCACAAGTTTGACAGCCAGCGAAAGATGAGGCAACACCTAATTTCCAAGAATGATGCGGGTAAAGGATTGGCAAGCTAACACGAAACTCCCTACGAGTGGCAGGCCTGGGGCCCTGCCTGCGGGCCTCCCGCGGGGCTGGAAGGATGCGCACAGCCCTAGACGTCAAGTACTCAAGGATTTTCCAGCTCCTGGCGTCAGACCACCTGCGGATATCGACCCACGTGGACAACAAAGGCTGCCGATCCAACCAACGACAAAAACCAACGCAGCTTCATCAGCGTAGGCATTGCTGAAATAGGCCCAGCCAAGATCTGGGCCAAATTCAGCCTCGAACATAGGCAAGGAGAGGTGAGACCTTACCCAGGTGCCTCGCAACCACGGCTGTAACAAAGCTTCGCACACTTCATGCCACAAGTCCAAATTCGACCAAGAGGATCGCAGACGACGAGTGGACACCAAACGCTGAAACAATTTCATGTTCAACTGGGAACCGCTAGAGAAAGAGATGGGGGCCTTCACATCGTGCCCGTCTACTCCAGTCTGTCCGG